CGACAATTATAAACAGATGAAACAAAGCAAACACGCGAAGACCATTCGCTCGACAATGCTTTGTTTCCACTGTTTATTCGTTAGGTCGTTACGCCGAAAGTCACGGCGATAAGAACGCCGAGTCTCGGTGCTCGCAATTGCAGTGCTAAAAACCTATTTTATTATTTCGACTCCGATATCGATAGGAACGTTTAAGCAATCTTAAACACTTTTTAAGCAGAAATTTTTAACTCCTTCATCGATCCTCGCAAAATTCAAAACAACCTTCTTTTAATGATAATCTATATAAAATTACATGTACATCTTATACACTTTTTAAGTAGAAATCGGTAATTCCTTCACCGATCCTCACCAAATTCAAGAAAAAACTAAAGAATATAACAGAATTAGAAATAACACGATATCTCAAAAGTTAAAGCAACCACAGACATTTCACCAAATATTATAAACCTTTGATCTCGTATAAAGCTGGGTCTAATCAACCAAATCTTAAAGAATTATATATGAAATAGGGTTAGAAAAGACTGAAGAATATAATAGAATTAGAAATAACCCAATATCTCAAAATTTGCGGAAGTTAAAGCTACCAACAAACATTTCTCAAAAAATCAAAATTTTGTATAAAGAAAGAACCTTTTTACCGATTATCACCAAATTCAATACCCCAACCTTCTTTTAATGATACTCTATATAAAATTACATGTATAACTTATACATGTAACTTTTTAAGCAAAAATCGGTAACTTCTTCACCGATCCTCGCCAAATTCAATACCTTCCTTAAATGATATTTTATCCATCAAATAACTTACACATTTTTTAAGCAAAAATCGTTACACATTTTTTAATCAGAAATCGGTAACCCTCTCACCGATCCTCGCAAAATTTAAAACAACCTTCCTTTAATAATACTCTATATAAAATTACATGTACATTTTATACACTTTTTAAGCAGAAATCGGTAATCCCTTCACCGATCCTCGTCAAATTAAATAACAATCTTCCTTTAATGATACTCTATCCATCAAATAACTTAGGGTAGATCGAGGCGAATCGGATCAATATAAGTTTTAAGACAGTTTTCGTTAATGTTTTATTTCAAACGAGCTATTTTATCGTGCTAATTAATAATCCGATTCGCCTCAGTCTACCCTATACATTTTTTAGGCAGAAATCGGTAACCCTTTCACCAATATTCGCCAAATTCAAAACAATCTTTTTTTTATTGCGGAGAAATCTTTGACTACTGGGATCTCAGGCCGAAGCCCGATTTGCCCAGTAGTCCCTTCAAGAAGAAGGAAATTCAAAACAACCTTCCTTTAATGATACCTTTTGTATAAGATTACATGTATAACTTGTCCACTTTTTAGGCAAAAATTGGTCACTTCTTTACCGATCCTCAAAAAATTCAAAATTTTATAAAAAAAGAACCCTTTTACCGATTATTGCCAAATTCAAAGTACCAACTTTTTTTAATGATGCTCTATATATATGTAATTACATGTACAACTTATACCTGTAACTTTTTGAGCAGAAATCGGTAACTCCTTTATCGATCTTCGCCAAATCTTAAAGAATTATATATGAAATAGAGGTAGAAAAGACTGAAGAATATAATAAACTTAGAATTAGTCCAATATTTTAAAATTTACAAAAGTTAGAGCAACCACGGACATTTTTAAAAAAATTCAAAATTTTTTTAAAAAAGAACCTTTTACCAATCATCGCCAAATTCAATACTAACCTTCCTTAAATGATACTCTATCGATTAACCCTTCGAGAACACTCCTATTTTTTTATTTACGGAGGACACTCTGGGTCAATCTGACTCTACACACACTTTGATCGTCCACTATTTAAAAATAATTTTTGAATTTTTTTAAATATGTAAATAATGTTAACGGCACTTTTTATTTATATCAATTGATTTAACAATGTTCCAAGTATGTACATCTGGAAATTTTTTCAAGCTGATTGCACTTGTCAATTTAAAATGGTGGACGATCAAAGTGTGTGTAGAGTTAGATTGACCCATGAGTGTTCTTTAAAAAAAAAACGTAATTTACAAAAAAAATTTAATTTTTTTATTTTAATATTTCTGGCTAAAAATTACAAAAAAAAAACAGGGTCAAATTGACTCTGTGTTCTCAGAGGGTTAAAAAAAAACAACCCGATATCTCAATTATTGCGGAAGTTAGAGCACACAACCGCGGACATCAAATCCGTACATACACACATACATACACACATACGGACATTTTTTTTAATGCAATATTTCGACGTTTTAGAACACTCTGAACATATTAGCAACAAAAACTCAAAAAACAATCTTTTCTTTGGTTTCTTCATTAAACACAACTTTATACGTAATCAAAGGTTCATATACGAAACTTACTAAAACAAAGCTTCCTCTATGAGGAAGCAATATGATGAGGAAAATGTAAGTTTGATGGCTCCAACTGGTGTGGCAGCAAATAATATTAATGATGCTACGATTCATTTAGCACTCCAATTATTTATCAATAAGACAGAGAAATAATGAAGAATTTAAAGGAAAGGCTCTGATAAAGTTACAAAAAGAGTTTTCAAACATAAAATTTGTAATGTGAATGTTAGGTTTGAATACATTGAGGCAAATTGATCAACGACTCCGCCAGGCTAAACCAGAATACAGTGAGTATCCATTTGAAGATATAACGGGGATATAACGGTGTATCTTTGTAGAGATTATAACCAATTGCCACCAGTATCTGAAATCGCAAAATCAGATGCTAAAATCAACCAATCTGAAGGCAATGGAAGGAAAAGCAATTTATTCACAATTTAATAAAGTATCTTTTTTACAATAGTCATGTGCAATTTTTTAACAATAGTCATGCGCCAACAAGGGAAAAAGCAATTAATGTTTAGATGTGTTTTGCAAAACATCATGAGTAGAGTCACCCTAAATGATTATAAACTTTTACATACTTGATTCATTAGTTTTTGTAATCACAGTAGTTTCAAAAATACAGTAAGAATAATGCATCACGCAATGTAAGCATCACGTAATGATGCTATATTAGACGATGATCGTAAATTATGCGAAACTGGAACTTTAGTGACTGTCATCAATGCAATTTGCAATAACCAAACAGCACGTTTTGCTTCTGTCAATGACGCTCAAGCATGCCAGCAAAATTGATTTTATCTATTGAAACTCGGATAATTTTACAAAGAAATTGGAATGTGTCGAAAGGTTTCTACAATGGAACGTTTGGAACGATCATTGACATCGTTTATAACCCGAATGTAGAAATCGAAGAATACAGTGAATGTATACCGGTATTTATATTATAATGGTTTGACGGTAGCTCAACATTTGCCAAAGATGCGACATCAGTTGTCCCATATACCGTGTCTTTCAAAAAGAATAATGTCAGCTGCTCTCGACGCCAGTTTCTTCTCACCTTATACGGTCAGCATTCGTCAATCGCAAGGATAAATGATAGACAAAGCTGTTGTTGACATCGTATTCTCAGAATACGCACTTGCTCTTGGATATGTCTTTCGCGTGTTAAATCACTAGAAGCCATTGACTATTGACCCATCTTTTGTATTTACACGCTTGCAAGCTGTGAATAATTCGAGAATAATGGATTTGAGGCATAGGGAAATTGAAAAACTAAAGAATTTATAATTTTATATTAGCTGGTTACCCGGGCTTCGCCCAGGAGTCGATTTTCTTTAAACGACTTCATTTGTGTTTCAATATCCTTAATCGAATAAAATTCCTTTATCAGGCAATTGCAAAGAATACTTTATATTTATTTTTATTCAAATTTTTATATATTTATTTATTATTAATTAAATTATATTTAAAATTGCACAATATTTTTTATTCAATATAATTATATTAAATAATTGTACAATTATTATAAAATAAAAATTATTAATAATAAACATTTAACAATGGACTTTACAATTTTCTTTACATTTTGTCTTTTTTACAATTTATTCATCTTATTTTTCTTATTATCTTACCGATAAATTGGTAGATTAATGTAAAAGCATTCCCCGGAAAATTCTATCTCTGTTTCATATATAATTCTTTAAGATTCGGTCAATTATTTCCCGAAAAATTAGAAAAATTAGAAAAATCGGTTTCCAGAAAATCGGTAACGAAAAACTATACACATGATGGCACTCCCCGGAAAATTCTACCCCTATTTCATATGTATATACCACTTTAAATTTTAGTCCACTAACGGATGAATAGTTAAGCACACATACATACACACCAATCTACAAAAATACTGTAAAATGAAAAATATCACTTTTTTATCGAGTGAAGTTCAATTCCATCGTATACAATTCTTTAAGATTCACTCAATTATTTCCTAAAAAATTGAAAAAATTTTGTAACTAATTTCCAAAAAGATCGGTAACGAAAAATTATACACTTTATGGCACTCCCCGGAAAATTCTATCCCTATTTTATATACAATTCTTTAAAATTCGGTCAATTATTTCCCGAAAAATTGGAAAAATTTTGGATACCGGTTCCCAAAATAATCGGTAACGAAAAACTATACACTCTATAACACTCCCCGAAAAATTCTACCACTATTTTATATACTTTTGGTAAAAATTCGGTCGAATAGTTTAAGAGTGTATAAAGAACAGATATACAGACATTCTATATAGATAGATAGATTATATTGTTGTAAAATAATAATAATGCTGTAAACATTTTTTATGATACTGTTGTAACATAATAAATAATGTTGCAAACGTTTTTTCTATCATTCTATTGTGAAAAGAAACTTTGCTCGTTCGCTCCGCTATATTTTTTGTTTGTCACGCGTGTCAGACATATCTAATATTTCCCTAATCCCTGAAATTTCTATTTATCAAAAAATCATAAGTTTTTAAATGTCTTGCTAAAGATAAGATTCGATTGAATTTGAGATTCTCAAATATCACGAATCCTTGAATTTTTATATAAAATTAATTTCACAGAACTTTACATAACTATATTCTGTGGCGATTTGTCATGTCGGTTATGCCTCATATGATCGATGAATATCAGCAGAAACGAATCGAATTTCGCAAGATCCTTTTGGGTATTCTTAGTGAAAGGAATAGATGGTCGCAATGCGTTGAGTGGACTAATAAGAAACTCGGGATGGCGGTAGGAGCTCTTTTTATAAGCGAAAATTTTAATCACGAAAGTAAGGTGAGTATTTTCCATTTCAAAAATAATAGCTACAACGAATTCTTTTTGCTCTGTGGGTCGAAATGTAGTCTGGTTTTCAGGAGACTGCTTTAAAAATGATTCGGACAATTCGCGAAGCTTTTAACGAACTGTTGGTCGAAAATCATTGGATGGATGACGAGACTCGGGCAGTGGCAAAGAAAAAGGCTGATTCAATGAACGAGCGAATTGGATATCCCGAATTTTTGAAAAATCCACATGAGCTCTCTGAGGAATATAAAATGGTAATGACATCGATATTATCATTTCTACAAAATATTATATTTTAGTATTCTAATATCAAATATATAAAAGAATTTGTTATGTCCTGTGGACTCCACGATTTCTCTTTTTCGCGGAAATTTCCTAAAATCCAGAATAACCTTTAAGATTAAAATAAGTAACTGAGCACTTACGGTTATCCATCGGCAAGTAAGCTATAATTTCGACATTTCCAATTTTCCTATCGACACTTCCTATTTTTCCGTCATGTTTGCTTACGTGTCTAAACAAGATCGAGAAATCGAAAGGAAACTTCCAGGTAATGAAATCCAAACAAACAAGGCATATACGACTACGTTTTTATCAACTTTGTCTGATCTATAACTATAAACCTGGCGACATGGCGCGCCAAGGAGCTCTTAAATTCAAAAAAAGTTCAACAGAAAATTTTATTATATTGAACGAGCTGTCTCGACAGATAAAAACACAGTCTGGGACGTGCGTTTCTAAAAATCCTGTAACTGTTATAAGCATGTAACGGAAATAAAGATATAAGACTATGGGTTGTCTGTTTACACAAAAACAGGGTTGTGAGATAAACCAAGAACCCAGAGCTATAATAAAAGAGAGACCGGCGATAATTAAAAAATGGATAAGTCACTGGAAAAACCGATAGCTTAAACCTCCAAAATAAGACGGTGGGGGCCTTATGACAAGAATCGCCAATAGACAGCCGTAAAAATAGATAATTATACCTAGCTCGCCGATAGATAGGCGAAAACCGGGTGGAAATATCCTACCAACCAAAATCCTCGAAACGAAAACCTGACATATCCCACAACGAAAAAAAAATCCACCCCTTTCATCTCTTGAACTTTTCTATATAAACCGCGACATCTTAGGATTCGCCCTCTTCAGACAGTTTACCTCTTTACTCCCGGTTTATCTCTTAGATCAAATTCTCTTCCCTCCGATTTATTTCTTTAGTTCAATTCACTTCCCTTCTCTTCCGTTTTACGAACATCAAATCCGATCCCGAGTTTCAAGTTAAATTCTGTGCGCAAACTTAAACTCACCAAGTATCGACGAGAGCCTCTATCTACAGGACCTAAAGAGATCCAGATTGAACGTAACACATCAACAAGTAGTAAATCTTATTATTATTTTCCTTTTTTTTAAATAAGCCATTAGACTATCAATACTTCAATTCTTCAATCCAACCATCTAACTCCTTCCATTACATCTTCCCCCTTGTTTCTCAGGATAGCTGATTAACATTGGCGGACACGTAGTATCTCCTTCTGTTACTTTTGGATTAGCTGATTAAGGAGGGGAGTACCCTTTCAAGAGCTAAAAACGGGAGCGTCCCAGTTGCGCACAGAATAAATCGGACACAGCAGGTTGAATGAATCGGACACAGTGTCGATCGGACACAGTAGGAAACGGACACA